CTTAATTTTGGGTTGGAAAAGTGGGGGTCATCTTATACATGGGGGGCATCTTATTCACTGAAAAATACAGTAAAATTCTGGGGTTGTGTGCATTTTCCATTCACCTCCTCCTATAGTCAGTACTTTATTCCATTTGGTGACATGTTCAAAGCACTAGAATTCCAACTTCATACCAGAAGTTATGGTTTATAACTTTAATAAATTAATAAAATAAATATAAATTGCTGATTAATCAAATAAGCTATTTCAAACCTTATTGTCTAGGTTCTTACACCATGGTAAGCCATAATGTAGTCTGTTTTTGGTTTTGCAAGTTGTGCAAATTTTGTTCTGCATTTATGTTTCACCAATATTAAAAAAACTATAAACTGCTGATTAATCAAATAAGCTATTTCAAACCTTATTGTCTAGGTTCTTACACCATGGTAAGCCATAATGTAGTCTGTTTTTGGTTTTGCAAGTTGTGCAAATTTTGTTCTGCATTTATGTTTCACCAATATTAAAAAAACTCCTGCCTCAGTGCAATATGTGAATCAAATCACTGCTGGCTAGATTAGAAACTGAATAGTTTGTCTTAAAATTCGGTTTAAGCACAACCAACTGAAACAGTCTTGAATAATTTTCTTTTTTTAGAAAAGTTTTAAGGTGATCAAACTGTCAGGTTTACAATGTTCAAATCCCAATGAAGAAAAATCTCATGCAACCCAGGTTAGGTTCAAAAAAGATTTCATTTATCGGAACAGTACACGTAACACTAAGCAAAGCATTGCTGAAACTAAAGCCCAGTTTTTCCCTCTCTGCTTTTACCCCAAATTCTCACCCCGCTCCTCCTAGGCGCCAGTTCTCTTTCCCACCAAGGCTTTTTCCCACCGAGGTGCGACCTTGCACATTCTTATCTCCCGATAACAGTCCATCTTCCTGGCCTTTGAAATCACACCAATTCCTTCTAGTTTCCTTCTCCCCCCTCCCTCCTTCTAACAAATGGCAGAAACGAAGCAAGCAACTACTAAGCTAATATTTTGATTGCTGAAGGTTCTGACAAAATAAATAACCTACAGATGTTCTATAATCTGGTTTCAATATGCTCAAAATCTGCATACATCCTTATTGAATATCTGTATTTTTTCACCTCTCATCTATTTCTGTTACACTGGAAAAAGGACATACAGTCTCTTTCCTCCCCCATCAATCTATTTGTTTATCTGGACTTAATTAGGTGAATTCCAAAATAATTCATCTGGCCTTTATGAGCAAACGCAGGACAAAAACCCTACAGAATAATTTCTACTGAGGTCAAGTTTAATTTTCAGGGAAGCTACTGCAGAAATCTCTTATATCTATGGAAGTAGAATTGCATTAAGGAAGACAGAATGGGCCAATCCATTTGCTCCCTTCTCTCCTATAGGATCTTTATATTTTGCAACAGAGTTTGCCTTTAGCACTTTAAGCTTGCATGATTAAGATCATGGGTAATTCTTAGCTGCACAGAAGCCTACTCAAAGAGAAAAAGCTTTCCACTGCAAGAACAACAGGACAAAGAAACTTACCTATTCACAGACTCTGAGATATAGATTCATGAATATCATGGTGGACATGGAGACTGGTCAGATAAGAACAGTCAAATGCACTGTCAAAATGTTAATTAAAACATATAGTCATGACTACAAATGATATACCTCATAAGTGGTCAGCAGAACGTGGAAACTATGATTTGATTTCAAATTCTGTTGCAGTTTGGCTCTTTCTTCTTTATCTCCTGAATATATCACAATGGAAAGGCTTGGAGAAAACCTATTTTTAATGTTTAAGAGTTATTGATATGTTTAAAAGTCATTGATCAAGATCTCTCTTCTAATCAGAATTATAAATATTGATTCACCTACTCTGAGATGCCAGAGACAAAATGTAAGACCTTTTGTGTGCAAAGCAGGTACTCTGTTTTTCTAACCTAGCAAATTTCTGAAAATAGTTATCTTATAGAGACTGAAGTGCATAATGGAACTTTATGACTAAATTTGAAGAGAGCTGCATTTTAAAAGGCATAAAAAAAACCTCTGCATCATTTCTCTCAATCCAAATTTTACTATATTCCTTCTTCTTAGCAAAAAATCAGAGGGAGTATGGCAGCACCTTTTCCAACTAACGTTGTTAAAAAGCATAGCTCACTTCAACATAAATTCACTTCATCATAGAGTCACTCAATTCATCTATACAGCTGATGGTTACAGCTCACAAAAGCTTTTTAATATTATGTGTTAGTTAGAAAAGGTGCTACCAGACTCCTGATTATCAACAAATATAACATACAGAATTGTCAATATTATTTCAAACTATTTATATTTAGGCATTGCCCAACTCCAAACTGACTCTGGGCAGCTCACAAATTACATTCTGAGTTTCAAAACTTGCCAGAACACGCTTCAAGAAATTTATAAATTCTTGAAATGTTTACCTTTGTAGTTCATCCTTCCAGTTATTTAATACAGAGAGAGGGCAAAGGATCAAAAAAGGCCTTCTATGAAGCTTCCCACTTAAAAAAACAAGCAGAGAAATAGTCTGAAATAGATTTTTAAAAATTGGATATTATTATCACATAATGATATTCTCCTTTCTTTGACAATTATGAAATCACAGATTTCCTGTAGAAAGACAGAATACCTGACAAGTCTTCCCCAGTCCCATTTCATCACCCAGAATGCAGCTATGCCCAGTTTCATAGCAGCGTATCATCCAATTTACACCTTCTATCTGATAGGGGCGCAGATGAATACCTGAAAATAAGAGAGAAACTCTGTTGCATAGGGACCTTTAGCTCACATAAACAGCTGTGTGAAATAAGATAAATCTAAAGGATTAGAATTACATTTTGATTATGCTAAAATAGGTCGCGCTGATTTCATCAGAGCTTATTTCAACATAGCCATTTTCACTGACATACTGGAAGGGGAACAAAATACAGTGCAGCAGCTTTCTCAAACCTAGTGCCTTATAAAAGTAGATACTACTATTCTCACAATTTTCAGCCAACATGTCCAGTGGGAATTCTGGGAGTTAATTCCAGCACATCTAGAAAGATACTAGATTAAGGAAGTGGTTATACTGTATATAACCTGTTACATTGGTTCCTTTTCTGATGGGACCTTATGGATCACTAGTGAGAGGAGCTACAACTTGCATGCCAGTCAGAAGGCAGGACAGAATGTAATTTATGGAAATAGCATAAATATTCAAGAGAACTTGCTTTTTATATTTCCAAAGGTAGGAATGTCAGTCTGATAATAATATCTTCGTTAGCTTTTAAGGCGAGATTTATTTTTTAAATAAGATACTCTACTTATCCCTCTTCCCTCTGAACAGTCAGTATATAAACCCTTGATTTGGAAAGCTACAAAAATATCTGAACCACTTAATACTGAATTAACAAGGTACCTATTCAATTTAGGCTATCTTCACATCACCAAAAGCACCTTTTGAATAGGCCACAGACCAAGATGCTTTGTAATCCCATCAAGTGATGACTGATGATGGCTGAAACTGGTTTTTAATAAACTTAATTAGTATTGCTTACTTTTTATAACTTTTGCATTTTGATTTAGTTGTTAAGTTGCCTTGAATCTTTCCAATTTGGCACCATGTAAGTCTAATCAATAAATAAAAACAGCCTAACCCATGGCTAACTGAACCACGACTTCATTGAATTAATTCAATTCCCTGGTTTCACACAATACAAACTAGTTTACCAATAGCCTAGCTAGTGAGCTAATCCAACCTTAAGAAAAATGGCTCGAAACGATACTTACCTGTCAACCCCCATTGGCGTAATTGCACCTCTTCAATACTTTCTTTTTCCTGCCTGGATCTGTATTTCTTAGAAAGAGTTTGGAAAAAGCAAGACATCACGCAGGCCTCAAAGCAGCAAACTCCGGTCCCTCTTTCTTCCTCAATTTTCACTTTCCAAAACAGCTATCGGAAAGAAATAGGCAAGCTTATATTGATTGGCTGGTTGGAAAGAACGCCGCGTTGTAATTGGCTTTTGTTGGAACCTGGGCGTGTTCCAGAAACAGCATCGGTCTGTGAAACAGTGACGCAGCTCACGTGGCTTTCAACGTTGTCGTCTACGGTGCTCATTTACTCTGCCTTGTATTTTCTTTTGTTGGATTCAGTAGACTATTTACAATAACCGTATTTTACTACTTACTGTATTGGTCTCATACAGCTAGTATGTATAACTGTATACAGTATAACATTATACTGAATAATACTAACACTTGAAATTAATCCCATCTGAAACCACGTAATGTGTTTGAGATAAGGGCTGTGCTTGTTTTCAAGAGAAACAACATGTCCACTGTAGCAGCTTTCCTACCGAAGGGTGATGGGACAATTCCTTCCTAAATGGGCTATTATGTAGGAGCGGCGTTGCAAGCTGGAAGTTTTAGTAAAAATAATATAACCAAATCGACTTTCCAATCACATTTTAGCCAGTTACGTTGTGTGAATCCAAGTCGTGTGGATTTATGTTTATGTCTTTTGACCCCCCCCCCCATTCGACTGAAATGTTTGTCGTTTATCAGTCATCGATAAACGAACAGGTGAAACTGTAGACAAGGACTCACGTGAAAAAAGCGGTGTAAAAGGACAGTACAAATGGGAGTTTAACGATGCAAGTCTATTAAAAATAAGAACCACCTATAGTGTCCCTAACTGCGCCTAGACTGTAGCTTCTTTTTGCGCTGGCCACTCCGCCCCGCGCAGTTAAAGCATGCCGAATGAAAAGATGGTCTCTTTTGCCATTCACGGAAATTTATAATAGCAACTTCCCCATGCAGGACTGGAGCAGAGTTGTGCGGGAATCAGTGTTGCCTAGCACCTATAGGCTTTGCCCCTCAGAGAAAGTGTCTGCAGAAAACCACTGCCCAGCAGATCGAGCTGTTCTGCTCCCGCTAAACCATTAAAAAAAAAATAATCAGACATAACTTATTGTGAAAATCCATCTCTTGACGTTATTCTGCTGCATGCCAGCGAACGCAGGAATAAGGAGTTAATTGGGGAAGCCATGGGTAACGTGGTACGCTAACACAATCATTGTGTAAATCAAACTAAAATGGCCGCGAACAGAATCGAAGAACATAACGTATAACGTTAACGATTAATCGAAAGCGAAGCGTTCAGCAGGTAGCTATACTTCTATTCAGGCATGTTGCGCGATGGAATGAGGAGAAATAGCAAGCCTGGGGCGTCACGTTCTCATTCCCTGCACAAACAGCGAAAGACAGCAGGCTCCCGGTCTGCTTTCATCAAGCTCCGCCTGTAGCCCCGTAAAAATCGGCGAGAGACGGAGGGGAGCGTTTGGTGCGCTCTTCCTTCTTCGGCTTTCTGCTCATATTATCCCCTTCGGCACCGGTCTCCTTGAGCCACGAAGGACAAAGGCTAGCAACTATTGACGGCAGCCCGGGGAGCTGCACTTTTCATCCTATTTTATTTGGGTTTCGCGCGGCGCTTTATGTGTGCTTCCGGCACCGCTTTTCACCGCCGGCGGTAGGGTCGCGCTGAAACATCTGAGAGTCTGCTTGTGGACGCGGTGAGTGAGGTCGCAAAGACAGCAGCATGTTTTAGGGGTGCTATTTGCATCACCCATAGTTAATATTGGTAGCATGGAGTTTACTGACCAAAACTGGCGCTTCTCGCTGTAAACATTGTAGAAGGAGAGCTGTGGTGGCAGAAAATCAGGAGACTACAGAAGTAGCTTCCAGCTAACAGATTTTATGAAAATGCATAAGCTTTCCTAAGTATCTGATGAAGCTCATTATGCCTTTTCATAAAATTGTTCTTCAGGACAAAAAGAGCAACTACAGGTAGGCTACTGCATTTTGTCTGGAGGTATTTTTGAACATGAGTAAAGCATGTGGATACTTTATGGATGATACAGAACTAATGGAGCGCTTGAGTCCTTGTCTACAGTGCCTTCAGAAAGTGTTCAGACCCCCTTCACTTTTTTCCATTTTGTTATGTTGCAGCAGCCTGATACTACAATAGTTCAAATTCATTTTTTTTCTCATTAATCTACACTCAGTACC